CATGGATTTTTAGTCTTGCGTACGAACGCTTAATCTATAGACCATTGAGCTGGAATTCAACGGTGTTAATGTCTAACTTTAACTAATCCATAAAATTTCGCCGTCGTCCACCATTGTCTTCAGTAAGTCATTGCCTCACAACAGACACGGTTAAACTTCATTGGTAACGGCTTCTTACTAAAACTAATTTGTTCCATACATAAATAATATCGAGAATGATAGAGTTTAATTTAATAGGAAGAAGACAATGAACCATAGTTGGGAAATAACTACAAACTGACGATAATTTTAAAATCATAGATAAGTTAAATGTGCATACAAGAATAACAAAATATTAGATAGGTCTTATAGATTATTGAATTTGATATTGACCAAGATGATTAATTAGATGTTGAATAGCACCCTACTTGTAGAAATAAGAATGTGTAATGTTTTGATACACTCAATCTTGAATACTGTTATGCTTGAGGCTAAATCGATTCCGCGGTAACGAACGAAAGCCAATGACACAATGACAAGATAAGCTATTCTAATCTGTTGTCCCAGGCCCCGCTAACTAGATGAAGAAGTTCAAGGCAAGTAGGGGAATATATATGTATTCCGTAAGCAGCCGAGTACAAGCAAATCGAATAAGGGAAAAAGTTAAGCACATTTATACAGCAACAATTTGTCCTAGAGCATCATTAGTAAATAGCACACACAAAGAAACAATGGACCAATAGCGTTTAAGATAGTTTACAAGTGGGAAATATGACGTGAAGGTAAAAAGAGCGCGTTTGGCGCGAAAACAGCTAAATTCAAATTTCCAAAATGAAATTACAAAACTAAGCCATTTACCCAGTAAGTTCTGGGGATTTGACATCCCCAACAAATACTAACAAAAGGAAAGTGTGAACCATTTAAGATTTTTTACAAAACATCATAGCAATTTAATATGTTAGTGGTTACCATCATTAAATATTTTGGAAAATAACCCTCGAGGATTTGAATTGATCAGTGGTAAGGTTGGAGTCCCACTGTGAAAATCAATAAATTAATGCTGGTATATCCAGTAATAAATAACTGCCTGGTTTTTACCAATAATCATTATTAGAAATTCAAATAACTTGTGAAAGCGTGAAGGTATTATTGATTCAAACAATTTATATCGAAACAGATTTGACTGAATTGTTTTTTTATAGTTGATGATCTTCATTTGCAGAAACCAATACATACAATCCTAGTTCCCATGATAATAAATAACAGCAGTTAGAACATTATCCTGTTTCTTGACACAACATCGAATGAACAATATCCATTTCAATCATTTTATGCTGAGAATATTCGTGAAATCACAAACAACATTCTGGTGAATGAGTAATTTCGACATTGTAGTGTTTATATTCGTGAAAAACAATTTTAACCGAAAATTTCATATTCTCAGTAGATACTCACCAGAGATCAGTTAAATTGAGATAATAATTCTACCAAAATGTGAATTGAACTGTTATTTTGATTACTTAATTATTGTTATATGAATCACCTTTTCGAAGTTTGAATGATTTGAAAATAACCATAATAGTTATGGATAATGTAAACTAAGAAAGAATGATCTAGTTGAGCCTAACTTAGAACGCTTTAACTTTAATGAGTAGCTACTACATTGGCTGATCTCAGCCATCCATCAAAATTATGGTCAGAAAGTGTAAAAGTTATAATAAAAAATACCATAGAAAATCATATGATCAGCTTATCAATTAGCCTTGAACTTTGTGATTTAGCTATACAATTAATTTATAATTTGGTGATAAAGTAAGCAACTTCTACAGAACACACATAAACAAAATATTTACTAGGATAAAATTAAAATGTCGACTGAAATGAATACAGTTCAGCTGACTAGTTATAGAGATTATCTTAGACAATGAGATAAGCTAGAGAGCCCGTAAAAACAAGAGAGGATTTGAAACCTTGGTTTTGTCCTAACTTTTAAGTCACCTTATCATTTAGCACCCGAGACCTCAAAAAGGATATATATATATATATATATATATATATATATATAAAGCAAGAACACTGATATCAACTTAATTTGAACACCAGTGCTACTCAACGCCACTTAACTCAAATACTACTACTTTGAAATGTACGAATAAACAAACATAACCAGAAACTATAGGACTGATCTAGATTGAAACGTGACAAAAAAGTTCAATAAACGAAGTATAGTAATCAAAGCTAAATTTAAAGATCACTTTCAGCACATATATTTGTTGATCGATAGTACAATTTAGTCACTGGAGATAATAAAAATTCTTTAACTAGGTTTATCTTATATGAACAAACTCTTTTTGAGGTAGATCTATTTCTGGATACACAGTTTTAGTTGATCATTTTACATCTTAATACACTTTGAGCATTTTCAATAAATAAAAATTTTCAGATCAATCAAGTTATCGAGCTGATTATACTTTGTAGAGACAGGAAGCAAATTTCAAGAATTATGTCTTCAGATCTCCTTGCTATATAAAGAAAGCTATGAATGGGCTTGTTCTAAAACGTTTCACAAGGAATAATTGGCTGAATAGTTTGCAATTTTCAGTTACATTAAAGTGAGAAGCACTTAGCCAGAAAATATACATCTGCCTTTAAAATAACATGAAGATTAGTGTTACCTAAAAGATCCAAATGACTGACAACTCTCTTAACAGTTTAAATCATATCATGTTTTGTTATTCATAAATAATGAAAAAGTGACCTAATCAACATTGACTATTTGAATAGATACTTCGTTAAAAATGACGACAGGAATAATGGTTGATAATGCAGAAATAGATGGATTACTATTTGAATGATAGATATTAAACTGAAATGTTAGAACACACAAACCGTTAACAGAGGTACATTCTTACTCCACCACGTACAATCGAACAAATACTAAGAGACATATTTTTTAGGATTTAATACACGGAAATAGAAATGTGACATAACCATTGATTAATTGGCTCAATTCTTTATAAATTTAACAGAACTATCATCTACGATAAAACACGTGAAAACCACAAAAATGTGACTATGAGCTATTTACTACATCACTAAATATAACCAAAGGTAGGAATGGTTACCAAAACAACCAATACGAATAAAGTCTTAACCATCACGTCAAGAGTTATTAACGAAGGATATCTATAAAGAAATTTGATGAAAATACAGTATTATTGACACTCATTTATTGATGCATTAAACCACGTTATTTATTACGCTTCCAATAAGGACAGTGAGGAGTTAAAAAGTTGCGAAATGAATGCAGAAAATATGAAAACTCTGACAATAGCAAATAATAAAATCCAGAGCAGGTATTGCGTCATATTTAAGATACATTAGTTGGATGTGCATATATATCACAGTAGGAGGTTGACGTGACAGTAAAATCAAACTAGATTTTTTAAAATTGTTTTCGCAATCCTCATGATCTAACCATAAGACAGGAGAGCAGTTGTATCGGTCTAGTTAGAGTACTGTGATTAGTTTGCCTAGACTATCTATCTACTATCGGTGACCTTCTGCTAACTAACGACACAAACCATGTTTTTTCTGAAGACCCAATAAAAATCAAGATTCAATGAACCATTTGTTTCATCTTCAGTAATGTACATTTCAAAGCTCATAAAAAATTTAATCAAGGATATCCGGAGATCACCGAGAGTACGATACCATTGGAGTCTAAGATTCCACATTTCTAATGCCATTCAATCATCATAAAGTGTCATCGATTTCACTTCAGGCAAGTTTGTGTGTGAATCACTGATGAAAAGACATAAACTACAATCAAGCAACTGCTCAGTGCTCCTCACTCGTTTCCAATCATTCTGTGATACAAATCAAACTCACAAATGCTATACCGCGATAAAAAATTCTAAATTAATCCAATATTTATTGTTAACAAAAGTAAACGAATATTACATTGGTAAATGTCAGCTAGTCAAAACAATCTTATCCATCCAGAGGGAGTCAGTTATGCTTTATTGAATATGCACTAAATGTGAAATTCTTTTTAGTTATTAAAAATGCAGTTAACGAAAACGTTTCTGTGGGTCCTTTTTTGGTTTCTGTCAATCAAAATGTTGTGTGAAAAACAAAAGTGGGAAAGAAATCCTGACAAACAGTCACACAAGAATTCATCATTTTTCAATATGGATCAATAAAATTTCTCAAGAATATATTTATGTATTATCTCATTTGTTTCTGAACACACAAAAATAAGTCATAAACATTTCGGTAAGATAGGGAATTTTACTTGGTTGATGTAATTGTATATAACATAACATTTGTGATGAATTTTCAATTGTTGACAGGTGGTTATGTGATCAGCATAACTAAAAAATGATGAGCCTTACGTGAACGATATCTTTTCATCATATAAAACTATGTCAATTTACTCAGATTGGATATAACAAAAATGGTCGAATAAGATAATTTTCTTTGGAAGGATTGATAAATATACGTAAAAAAATAACGTACTCCAGAGCATTAGATAAAAAATAATCAAATACTATTGAAAAAAAGGGCTGTGGCTTAATTTTTATGACAATCAATTATCAATGAATACGTCATCGGTTCAAACTCAGCTCTGCATACTTCACTTTGGAGGGTCAAATAGTATCACAATTTCCCTTACAAGTGTGCGTTAACAAACTTATCCTAAGTGGATGAGTTCCTCAATCAACCCAATAGCTGATTTGTCTTGGTTTCTGAATTCCAAGTATTACACGACATTCAAATTCTGAAGCATGCTTATCACCTATAGACTACTGAGTCGGAGCTTTACCATCTATGCTCACAATGTCTATCACAAATTAATTGGGCTTGATCTAATGTGAGGTCATGTTTGAGCACTACTAAGGAGTTTGGAGATAAAGTGAAAAGACGTTTCGTGATGAAAAATATCGTATCACTATAGAAATAAACAAGTCAAAATTTATACTCAAATAAGAAAAAATAAATGAGTAACATTGACTTACCATTGAATCGGATACAGCAGTGAAACTGAAGTTAAAACACAAGCTGTTAGTTTTGTCAGCCGTCTTGAACAGAATAGCAAACTTCGCTCCAAAAGTAAGCTACAAAGAACATAAACAACGGAATTCAAAGAATAAGCAAAAAGATGACTAAGACAACGGCTTATGACAATTCTTCATTAGAATTTCTAACTGTAACACTGAATGAACGATACAGAGTATTTCACTGTCTATCAATGGGTCATATTTATGCTCCCGTTTTCCAGTAATATATTAATTTAATCAGTCCTCATAAATATGAGCACAATAGCTCACAAGTGATGGAAGAAAATAAGTCAATTTACGAATACTATATTAAGACTGTTTCAAATATATTCTACACGAGAAAATAAGGGTCTATTTAAGATCCCATTGATGCTTGAAGCTTTAAACGTCCACTTATCTCAATCAGAACTGAAATGAAGTCATTTTGAAACGACTCAAAAAGTAGTGTCATAATCCTTAGTCTGTGAATTATGCTTTTATGCTTTCATTATAAATTGCGTCAATACAATGCTAGAACCCCAATCATTCTCATTTTTGCATTGAAGCTTCCAAAAGATCGATGACAGTTGAATGATATCATTTCTAACTCAGCTACAACGAAATTATAAACTGAGTATTGGAATAGTACAAAATTTCTTTTTATTTAACGTGAAACCATACCTCTACCGCTTTCGTTATGTGATAGACAATGACAGAAATTAAAAAATTGAAATAATCAAAAATGACTGCTACTCTATCATCAGTTATCCCCAAAAAGATTTAAAAGAAATTTGCAGTAGGAAGTATTCTTACCTTACAAATATATGTATCCACAATGAAAGATCCAATGCATTATAATATTCTATAACGTAGTTCTATTTAAAAATTATAATGTATGTGAACATATTACAACTTACCAAATAATGTGGAGATTGAGGTGTTGGAATTCGAAGCACGAAACCCTGAAATATAAATTCAGTATCAGGTTGTTAATTTTTAGAAACAACAGTTTACATATGTTGTGTTTGTAGTGAATATTCACTTCATTTCGATTTAGGGTTTCTACTTTTCCAAAGCTCAATTTTGACTTTGAAAGAGTTAAATTTTTAGATAAAATTACAAACTGTCACAAAACAGGTTAAAAAGGCTCACTTCGATAAAACCACTATCTGAAAACCCCTTTGAATGCTGTTATAAATAAAACGATCACTATCAAGTTCCATTTGAAGTTGTATAGCGGCTGGTAATTGAGTTGACGACAAGCGCTTTGTCGATTTTGAGACTCGGCTGCTGGATTTACCTACTTCTCAGTTTTAATGTTCACATTGAGCACATCAATCACACATTAGTGGTAATGATAACTAATATGGGGACAAATTCCAAATAGCAAAAGCTGAGATAAGCTTTATTTCAAATAGCAGATAAACGTCTTGGTTAGTGCTGATAGCGAATCCATAGTATTTAGACGAGTTAAATCGATGGTAGTGATGGTAGTTAAGGGATTGTTCGAAAATGAGACTACAGTGTTCTTAACCTATGGAAGGGTTATCAATAACCGATTTGTATCTCAATTTATTTGAAATTCACATGGCAAATCGTACCTTAAGTAGATAATATAATCTCACGCACTGGTTAGTAGAAACTTTATTTGGAGTTAAACGTAACTAGGACATATTTTACTGCTCTTTTTTATCAGATGAGTAAGTTTGTACGAGTGGGGATTTTTCACTACGTGTTGCAAGATCAATTATACCATCCAGATATCCAAAATAAAGCAAAACTGTATTTACGGCAAATGAAGCCACCCTTTCAGATAAGGTTCAAAAATGCAAGTCCGATTTGAAAATTAAATTTATTTAAACATACCATAGACGGGTTGAATGGATTTGCACATTGAATACGATCGATCGGTAAACGAGGTGGAATAGCAGAAATTAGGTGAGAGAAGAATGGCTCCATAATAGACCAATGAACATCACGATACAGACCATGATGCCATAAAATGCTTAGCAGAGAGTGAAAACACTCACACCAAGGAAATTTGCTAAATCAAACGAAATGTAGTTTATTAAAAAACAACTAATCAACATCTTTCAATTTAGTTAAGTACTAATTATTTGACTAATATTTTTACACCTAAATATACATTGAAATAATAAAGAGAATGTAAATCACAATTTGACGATATAGTTGATATTCGCTTACAGATGAGCGCGACTTGTAGAGTGATTGACTAAGAGTTCAGATTTTCTTCGAAATCTGTCATTTTTAGCACTAATTCACCTACTTTTAGAAAACAGATCAAGTTTTACTTCAGACTTAAGAAATGCATTTAAACTTGTTATTGGTTAGTGTACTGCATTCAAACTATTGAGTAGCATTAAAATGTTTGGTGTCTCTCTGCTGTAATATATGCAGATGAAAAGTGGACAACAAAGACTATAGTATGACAAGCGTAAGTATATTTGAAAGTATAAGTACATTTTGTTGACGAGTTGTAACAATGAAGACCTACAGATACTTTTACATTACTTATAAATAATGAAATTAACATAACAAACTCAGTGAGTGAAAAGTTCATGAGCAAACTTTAAATTTTGAAAAATCATAACAAGATAAAAATCTAGAATCACCTAAAGATACTGTCTCGAATTTAAAGCATACCCATTACATGTCTACTAAAAGGAATAACTCGTCTAAGTAGTATGATAAACACTTTTACTGAACTTAATCGTTAGCTACTGAGGTAGACTATTAACATTATACTGATTAGAGAAAGCAAGATTTACATATTCTACCATGATTTCTTCTCAGTCAATCAAAACAGGAAGTTCGCAACATATGATTTAAGTTGTACTAAGTTGAAATAAATGACAAATATTATTGATCAATAAGATCAACTGATTAAACATAGGAGGGATAGGTGTAAATATGAATCCACCCAAGGTAGATACACTTAATATTATGATGATGGGAACTAGTTTTAGGAAAGACTAAAACGGGGAAATAATGACAGAAGAACAGAAAAGTTGAGTGTAAGCCATTTGTAACATTGAAGAGTTGCTCCCATATGTTAGAACCATTGAGTGAACGCAGGTTGTCATGATAGCCTACTAATAACTTTGATTTTATGTCACTTCAATCTGTCGGTTAAGTGGTACAACTTTACCAAACATTCGCGCAGCTCACGTATACAACATGATAAGGATGTAACTAAGGTAATTAACTTAAACAATATAGTATTCGATCCATAATATCATATACAGATATAACGGTAATGATAATTTTTATTGTCGAACAAATAAAGTCACAACACCTACCTTGAAATGCAAAGCAAAAATCTTTCGTTGGGTTGGTAGCAAAAAACGAATTCCAGTATGCCTTTAGCATCTGTGAATACAATCACAAATTCCTCAACTGATAAACGTCTACTTTATGATAAAATTACAGAGATAAAACAAATTCAGAGCACCTTACTCATCACAACAAAATGCAAATTCGATGATGCGTTCAATGAATACGTCAGAAAGATCACTGGGATAACATCTTTTGACAGCTGGGCCTACAAAATGTATGAAAAATGTTCAATAAATGAAACTAATAAAGTACTTAAAAAAATAAAACCGTGAGAATTATTATGTAATATTCTGATTACATTTATTCACATAAACCATTGAAATAAATGACTAAATTCGATCATATGACAAACCTATCGTTTCAAAACATTATAAAAATTAAATTATTCTGAAATTCAAACTAGTGGAAAACTGTTTTAGCCAGGCATCAAGGTAAATATCATTTACGTATGTTTTGTCAGTCTGATTTGTAGTTTGCATTACATTTAACATTATGATTACTAACAAATTTGATTTTACTACCGAACTACTCATAAGATAAGTCATAATAGTTAAGAAATTCTTCCGTCAATTTCTGTATGAAGATTAGTGGAGTGAAACTCCTGTAGACCTAGTTTAACTGACCTCTAGACTCAGTACGGATCACAAAAAGAGCTAATGGGAGATTTTTAATAGAGAATCAAAATACCAGTGAAATCAGGTCAAAAAAAATGAAAGCGATGGACAGAACCAGAGCCTAATTAAACAGTTTAGGATTGATTGCTAACCGTTGTTAGTTACAATGTTAGGTGATAAATTGAAGCGACATATGCAGAAATCATGTATGACTTTTGGAACATAATGTTGAAAGTTTTCAGACACAAGCCCTTAATATTCTATACAAAGACCAAAATTTCAGCTTTCAAATATAATGAAATTCTCCACATGTCTTTAAATTGAGCGTTTTAAGACATCGCTATTATTAAATCTAAATTGAAATATTTTGTGAGCCGTACTGCAACTGCCAAATTTACTAATCATCAAGAAACTGTCGTCAAAACTTTTCATTGGTGATAACATCTGAGGTTTTTGATTTTCACTTAAACTTAAATCAGACCGAAACTAGAAATTAAACCATAGCTTGCAAAGCTATTTTCGGTATGTAAATAATCGGACAGGAAATGTAAAAGCGACAATTATTCAATATGTTAGAAAGCCTATTTTTAAAGTTCACACATTTTGATGCAAAAAGAGACTAGATTCAGCATGAACTCACTGTCCAGTATTAAACATGTGACTCACCATGATCTCCTTGTTCATAGAGTATGTAATACTCAATGGTATGGTGCAGATCCCTGAAAAGAAAAAAACATATTAGCTAAGTTAATAGGGAATGCTAAGACAATTTATGTTAATTAATCGGATACCTGGCACACAAGTCAAACATCAGCCAACACAAACATGTACTGCGCGCTGTGTTTTACTCTTGACCTACAAAAAAATGCAGTGCATCATAACAAAACGTGCATTAAACGCGCCTCTTTGTCAAAAGCATTTGATATGGATGAATGTCATCTGCCCAGATAAGGACATGCATTCTGGCGATAATAAAATTAGTTTAAAACTCATAGTTCATCATTTTGTCCCAGATCTAAATAAATTTCAGTGACCTACTTTTACATCAAAAACGCGATTGGTGTAATGGAAACAATTATTATTATAACCAATTATACCAGTGATTGTTTTACTGTACTTGTTTGTTTAACCGTACAAAACGCATTTTTTATATACTTTGTCCATCTTGCTTGCATGAACGTGCTTATGATTCACCGTTTTGCTTGTAATCTTTGGCACGTCTTCGTATTCTTTTGATACCACTAGAACCATCTGGTTTTCAGCCTACCGAGGAATTAAAATCGATATTCGGCACGTAATCTTATTGTAGTACTGATCATAGTGAATTGTGACCTTACAAATTCATCAAAATTATGAAAATTTAATAACTTCATATATGACCGTATACAAACTTCTGGTAAAATACAATTAGTGGAAAATATCAGAGGTTGACTGTAAATTCTACTGTTGATACACCAGGAGTAACCAAGGGTTGTTCAAAGTTTTATTGTATAATTTACGTGAACTATTTTAAAATCTTGGTCGTTCCACAAATCGTCTGGTTTCTGATTTGATGAAAATTACCTTATCATGGTACTCCGTGAATACTAAAGTTCGGCCTAAATAACAGAGATTGGAGGGGCGTTACTTCGAGCGTCAGTTGAAACCTAAAGCAATTTTGAAATTACAGGCTTTTTGCATACGTGTAATTCACTGTACCAATTCACTGTACACAATATCTACTGTACAAGATCTACCTGGCCTATGGCTTTGATTTCATCCAAACATAAGTCACCAGTATTTCTTATCCCCATAACTTGCTCAAATGTATTATGTTTCTGAACTCAGATGTACAACAAACCAATAAGTGGGTCAAAAATTCGCCCCGTGAATATATATTCTGAGTATTCATACTCCGAGCCAACATTTAGGTTGTTCATCAGGATTGCAGTACTGAAATTTTATCTTGATATCTCTTGACAATCGGTGTGGCTTGTATTGACTTTACCTTCAGTAAACGTACGTTTAAATCAGTAAATATCCAGTCACGCTTCGGTATTATTGTTCACTAATAAAGTTTACTGAGTACCGGAAGGTTGAACTGTCGTAAAAGGATTGGTGCGTCAACCCGAAAATTCGTAAAGTTTTCCGAGAGCAGTCAGAGCAACATAATTTTAGATTTGAATTAAGTTTGAAAGCAGTACGCAACGTAATATGATCTCTGTGGTTGATAATTACTTTTGCAGTATACACACACTAAGTATGTTATGTCAATGTGTAAAAAGAACAATGATGATCTAACTTTAAAATATTTTTTCGTCTGATATGTCCGTACATGTGGGCACAAATGGGATTCTTCAGGATCAGATGCTTGTCTTCAAGATGTAGATGATGCTAGTGATTAGCATTCTTCCGAAGAGTATGCATATCCTAACTTATCACCACAACCTAGAAAAAGAAGACAACATTGGTCATCTACGTATGCCTTATTTCGAATGAATTTATCCTTCAGGTCAAAATATTACCACATTCAATCTGGATTGTGGGTCCATGCAGTAAACAGTGAGCTAAAGATTACCTCTATAAAAACCTTCCTTGTACAGAAGGATATATTTCTATTTAACCTACAAGACGACAGTTGACGTCAAGTGGACAATTATATTTAGGACCGTTTCTAGTGAGCAATATCCCAACTCATAGCTTACGACATCTGGTTTCTTGGAAGATCTATAAAAAGTTCACCAAGGACGATATCACCAAAATGCGATCACTGTTGTATCCAAGTTGTCAAACTCACATTCAAATTAATTGTGTTTAGACACTAAAAATATGATCGACATTTTACAGCGCGTTAAAGCGAACACTGAATTAAAAGTATTCAATGAAAATGGGAACATACCTACGATTTACTTCAGTAGCAGGGAGCAAATAGTTAATTACTACGTGTTTCCAGAGATAGTAGGTATTGACTTGACTTATCAGATCAACGAAGCTGGGCAAGTAACGAATAGCAAGAAATTTATCTTATGGTTTACCACTGTTCCAGCTAGTGGCTGCTGATAGTTTTAGGCATGGCACACTGTTACGTATACTCTTTCCAGGCAAGAGCGACGCAAAGATGTCGTAAGACTACTGGAATACTTCAAAAACATAATGTGTGATACTTAAGATACATACACTTTCGTTATGGATTCGACAGCGTCTGAAATTTCTGCTGTACAGTCTACGCACGGTCACGTAAACACAATACAGTGTTCGTTCCATGTCTTAAGAGCATGTTTCAGGAAGATAAGTGTTAAATGTGCAAATTATTTGCTGTAGTTCAGAAATCCCGATGTTGGCAAACGTCTGGAACATCTCGTAAAAATCAGCAGATCTGATATGTGACCTTCGCTCTTCATGACTCATTGTACTCAGATTTACTCAGAAGTACGATCACCAAAGAACCCATTTTCCACGGGCATATGTTTATATAAGACAAACCTGAATAGCTCGAAAATCAATATGGGCCCGCTGTTACCAGAGGCATGTAATGAGCCATAAAGACAAAAAATGCCACACTTACACGTGAAGTTACATTGATGTAATCCAAACAAGCACAAAATGCACTTATACGATGGGAATCTCATGAACATAGGATCATCAAAGCCTCCTCAACAACAAACAAAGTGGACATTACAATGAACGTCATCCAATGCTATGCGCATACCAACGATTACGACGAAGACGTTAAAGATCAGTTCTACGGTAGGCTGCAGTCAATAAACGAGAAATTCCAAATAAAGGAATTTACCATTCCGCTGGGAGACGTAAACTCCAAAGATGGAATGGACAACACCGGATACGAAGACATTATGGGACGATATGGACTGGGAGAAAGGAACGAATATGGTGGGATTTTTGCAAACCTATGTGCCTTCAATAAATTGGTCGTAGATGGCACTATATTCCCACACAAAAACATACACAAAGCCACATGGAATTCACCGAATCACACCACACAGAACCAAATTGACCATATCTGCGTCAATGCAAAGTTCAGGAGGACGATGGAGGACGTGAGAACCAAGAGTGGAGCTGATATAGCATCAGATCATCAACTGCTGGTCACCAAGATGAAACTGAAACCCAGGAGCACTGGACAACGGGGAGGACAACATCACAAAGGTTTAATAGGGCTCTTCTTCGGAATACTGACAAACTCAACAAATTCAAGATAGCCCTCAACAACAGGTTCCAGGCCTTTCATGATCTAGTCAATGGAGAAAGAACTACTATGGAGAGAAACCGGAAAGGGATAAAAGAGACAACCACTTCAACATGTCATAAGGTTCTGGGCCACATGAAGCAGCATTACAAGGAGTGGATCAATGTTGTACATTGGACAAGATTGAAGAAAGGAGGAACAAAAAGGTAGCAATCCATACAAGCCGAACAAGTGCAAAGAAAGCCAATGCACAAATAAAATACACAGAAGTTAATAAGCAAGTGAAGATGAGCATCAGAACCAACAAACGTAAATATGTGGAAGGTTTAGCAATGTTGGCGGAAAAAGCTGCAAGAGAAGGAAACATGAGACAATTATGTGTGTAATCACTAACATTGAAAAACAACGAAACAGGTGGGTAGAACAATTCAAAGAACTCTTGAATTGACCAGCTCCACTGAACCCACCCAGCATCAAAGTAGCCCCCAAGGACCTCCCAATCGATGTTGGCCCACCAACGACTGAAGAGATCATCAAGGCCATCAAACAAATCAAGAGCGGCAAAGAAGCGGGACCAGACGACATCCTGGTAGAGGCACTGAAAGCAAATGTAGCAGCAACTGCCAAGATACTACACATCCTCTTCAGTAAGATTTGGGATGAAGAACAAGTACCAACAGACTGAAAAAAAGGACTTCTCATCAAGATACCAAAGAAAGGCGATCTCAGCAAGTGCGACGACTACAGTGACATCACTCTCCTCTCAATACCAGGAAAAGTCTTTAACAGAGTATTGTTAAACAGGATGAAGGATTCCGTGGACGCCCAACTTCGAGATCAACAAGCTGGATTTCGTAAGGATAGATCGTGCACAGATCAAATCGCAACTCTACGTATCATTGTGGAACAATCAATCGAATGGAATTCATCACTCTACATCAACTTCATCGACTACGAGAAGGCATTTGATAGCGTGAACAGGACGACACTATGGAGGCTTCTTCGACACTACGGCGTGCCTGAGAAGATAGTCAATATCATACGGAACTCTTATGATGGACTAAAATGCCAAATCGTCCACGAAGGACAACTCACCGACTCGTTTGAAGTAAAGACCGGTGTTAGACAAGGTTGCTTACTCTTACCTTTTCTCTTTCTCCTGGTGATCGACTGGATCATGAAGACGTCAACATCTGGAGGAAATCACGGAATACAGTGGACAGACAGGATGCAGCTTGACGATTTAGACTTCGCGGATGATCTGGCTCTTCTATCACAAACGTAACAACAAATGCAGGAGAAAACGACCAGTGTAGCAGCAGCCTCAGCAGCAGTAGATCTCAATATAAACAAAAGGAAAAATAAGGCTCTCCGATACAAAACAGCGTGCACCAATGGAATCACACTTAACGGAGAAGCTTTGGCGGATGTGAAAACCTTCACATATTTGGGCAGCATCATTGATGAACACGGTGGATTTGATGCAGATCTGAAGGCGCGGATCTGTAAGGCAAGAGCAGCATATTTACAACAGAAGAACATCTAGAACTCAAAATAATTGTCAACCAACACCAACATCAGAATTTTTAATACAAATGTCAAGACAGTTCTACTATATGGGGCGGCAACCTGGACAACTACGAAGGCCAACATCCGAAGATATAAGTGTTTAATACCAGTTAATAATAATAATA